TTACCCTGCAGGGTAACAATGGAGGACAGATAAAAAAAAAAAAAAACATTACTTAAGTGCCTCAAATTCTTTTAAACATTTTAGGATCCTTCATTTTGGAGTCAAAAGACTATAAGAAAATAATATCCTCAAGGATATTGTTATTTATCACATCTAAAACAAATGCTTTGCAAGGGGAGCTCTTGCAAAGCAATCTGGACATATCTGTGCATCAATGATCACTACTGTTCAAGGTAGCCTAGTAAACTAGCCCCACCCACCAGTGGCCAAAATAATTTTTGCCTGTGAGTTGGTCTAGCCTCGATCAATGCCCCAGGCCCTAGAACTGGCGGACCAATCACAACGCAGACATATGTTTTGAATTTCTGGATGCAAAGTGATTAGAGCAGACCTTTGAACACAGCAATTGTTTCAAGAATCATGCTGAGGTTGATATGAAGATATTTTTTGTTAGATGATGGCCTGTCCTAGTAAAAAAACAAAAAAAAACAGTTTTATTGATTTAAAAATCTAGAGACTGTTGCAGCGATTAACCTCTCAGCAGGACACAATTCAGCCTTCACTTCAATGGGATGGTCTTGTTCAAAGCATACATGGACACGCTAGCATGTATATAATATGTTAACGTGGTCCCATCAAAGACCATGTGTGATTCCTATTGAGAATCTGCAGGTATCCCACATGAATTATCCTGATTTAATTTGCAAATAAGAGTGGGCAGTTATTTCAGCCTCTAAATATGGAAGGCTGGTAGATGCAAATCCCAAATAATTACAACAGATTTTAATGAGTAAAACAATGTAAGTTTAATGGGTCTAAAAAAATGCGTCATGTAACAGTGCATCACATAATGTTTTACAGCAAAGTTTATGGCATTGTAAAATGTGAATAGCTATAAGGGGATAAATACAATTAAAAGGCACACGAGTTCCACTGCACTAGCAAACAGTCATGTTTAGTTAATTAGAATATGAGACTCAGTTCAATTCAGTTTATTTATATAGCACCAATTCACAAAATACAACATCCCAAGGCATCAAGGGAAACCAGTTGATGGCATCCAGTTATTGACTTGCCAGACGTGCTCCTCCTGGATGAGCTTGTGGCGATGATTTTCACTTGCATTTTGTTTTTGACTCTTCATTAATCCCTCACACCATAAATGCATCCAGCGACAGTGGAGAGGAGAAACTCCCTTTTAACAGGAAGGAACCTCCAGCAAAACCAGGCACAGTGTGAATACATTTGACAAATGTTCAATTCAGTTTATTTATATAGCACCAATTCACAAAATACAACATCCCAAGGAACTTTACAGAGACAAACTTTTTTTTATCAAGGAAACCAGTTGATGGCATCCAGTTATTGACTTGCCAGACGTGCTCCTCCTGGATGAGCTTGTGGCAATGATTTTCACTTGCATTTTGTTTTTGACTCTTCATTAATCCCTCACACCATAAATGCATCCAGCGACAGTGGAGAGGAGAAACTCCCTTTTAACAGGAAGAAACCTCCAGCAGAACCAGGCACAGTGTGAATACATTTGACAAATTTGCCAGATTAAAAATACATTTTAAGCAGCTATTAAATCTAATTTTAGTTTAGCCAAACATCCTCTATTTCTTTATTGATGTAATGTTTGTAGTTTTAAATTGTGCTTCCATTTGCTATTAGCTGAACATTTTTAAAATTAACTGAAATAAATGTTTGAATAAATCAGTATGATAAATATATTTAACTTGCTTCATTTGGTGTTAGATGTAATTGAAATAAATTGAATTTAAAAAAGTAATTTGTTGAATAGCACTATATAAATTAGTTGTAGTTCAACGGAAAAAGGATGGTTGCTAGTATTATTTTTTTGTGTGTTTTTTAAGTAAAACATTGTGTATACTTTGAAATCTGAAATTATAAGTAGCCTTACTATTCAGGCTGGATAACAGACTTCTACCAGGACTTACTGTGAGGGGGGAAGCTGAAATAATCCACCCCATGCAGAGAGGTGAGGAGATGATGGAGATAGCTGAGGTTATGCCATCCAAAAGAGGAATTAGAAAAGGTTTATGCAGCAGAACCTTTCATGCTGTGTTTTTCCACCCTGGTCAATTCAGAAAAAGTTCCTTATGTCAAGACCGCCTGTTGTAACAATTAGCAGGAAATGAGTGTCAGACAGGGCCAGATGGTATGCAGAGGGAATTTTTGACTTTCTTCACGGTAGGTAACAATAGCATATGCCCATCTCAAGAATTTGAGCTGAAGATAAGACAGTTCTTCCATCAAAAATGAAAAAGTTCAACTGCTGCAATTTTCTGTCCATAACTTTCTAATACAAAGTTGAAATAAGGACATGATGAAGTTTAAATCTGAGAGAGACGAAGTCTCTCTAGTGGAAACTTTCAGGGTCAAGAAAATAACATTCAGCTCAGTGAACTCTGTGAGGTGTTTCTCATCTTAACCATAAATTACACCTAGTCCCATCTTAAATTTATTTTATCAGTTTATTCATAGGTCCATATGTGCAATCCTTGTTCTCCCCCAGGTCTCTTTTTTTTTTATCCCAGGGTGCAATTCTCAGAGTGGCCATGGACCAACTGGAGATATTTAACCTTTTATTTTGTAAATGTTTGTTCTCAGGGTTGTGCCCTCTGCTTGAGTTTATTTTCAGTTTCTTTGTGTTCTGTGTCTTTGTAGTTGTTTTTATTTATTTTTTACCAGTGCTGAGTTCTTTAGTTATTCTCTGTTGCCCCCTTGTGCTTTTTTCCTTTCCCCTTGGCATCCTCCTAGTTATCCACACCTGCTCCCAATCTGCTGATTAGCCTTGTCTTGGTTCAGTCTCCCCCTATATATACACCACCTCTGCAGTCGCTCAGTGGTGATTTGTTGTTGTGTAGTTGCTTCCTCATCTCTGGCTCCCAATGTGAGTTTTCCCTGATGTTGTGCTGGCCTTTTGGTTCTTTGGATTTTGCCTCAGTTGACTCATTAAACCTCACAAGCTTCACCTCTGACTCCTGATCTTTGCATTTGGGTCCGCAAAAACCTCTACTCAACTCTGACATTTATATAGTATAGTTTTAAGCAACTTCTGGTTTGTTTTTATAAATGATAAAAGAAAAATAGAAAAAGTAACTATATTATTACTGAACTGTTAATGTCTTTATTAAGCAAGAACTTTCTAAAAACAAAGGAACAGGTTAAAATACTGTTTCAGTGGATATATACCGATACAGTTAAATTTCCTTTGTGTGGCAGATTAAGGTTTACTTTTATGCATTCTTAAAGGAGTATCCAGAGTTTTATGCAGAGGTTTGCCTTGTCTCACAATAATTTGAGATGATGGCAGGTGTTGTGCACGTCCATGGAGGAAAAAGAAACCATGCACAGGTCTCAATGTAAAAAAGTATGGATAAATGATAAAAAATTTTTTAAAGAAGTATCCTAACCTTTTACCAAAAACCAGGCCATTCCTAGGGCAGATCGATTTGTTGAAAGCTTTGTATTTACTCTTATCTTATTCTGGCAACAATCAGCTTCCTGTTTAACAATTTTTGTAGCACTTAACAGATGTTTTATTTTCTTGCTTTTCTGTGGTGTCTCTGATAGGGTTTGAGGTGCACTTAAGGATTGTGTTTTGTGATCCATTTTCACAAACCATTGAAGCCCTGTCTTTTTGCTGCAACAGCAGCCGGAATCACTCTCTCATGAACTGACTAATGGAACCTACAGAGACAACTGCATTAGATATATGAAAGCTTGTTTCACATGTTGGACAATTGTAAGGGTATTATGGGAAAGAAAAAAAAATACCTATTAAACTTGTGCAAAGCATCTTTAAAAATATAGAGGTCTTCCACATCAATAATTTTCTTCCATTGCAATCCTTTTTTAAATTGTTTCCAACTACACTGAACATAACATTAAAGAGGAATATTTTTTTCATCTACTAGGAGATGTTTTGCTGAAGAAGCATCTCTGAGATTTACCATTTTTTTTTACCTTTGGCAGTTTTACACAATGCCTGTGTGAAACAGAGCGGGCAGAGTTTACATCACTGTTTAAAAACAAAGATGATTTTGTTTTTTATTGTGTTTAACATCCTGTATTTGAGATAAGCACAGTTGGTGGAATTAGTGTCCTTACTGGAAACAGTGCAGTCATCTACACAGTAAGTTTTTTCAAAATGGTTGCTAGCATTTCCAAATCCCTCCTAATGGATTGTTCAGTCTTAAAATTATAAAACGGAAAAATTTTGGAGAGTGACGATCTTGGCAATTTATAAAACTAGAGAGAGCATAAACATTATGCAAGATCATTGGTCCTAAACTCAGACTCTCTGGCCCCTAAACAAGACTCTTGACCCTCAGACTGCTCCCAGACCACCAACACAGCATTGGAGCCCACTGCTTCACAAGGAATACATTTCCTTTCTAGAAGCTTCTCACGATTTTTGTTCTTTCTCTGGCTACATTTTAAACCATCTCTCTAATAATACGAAAGTAAACTTTTGGCCTTCCACTTTGCAGAAAATTGCTGTCAGTGCAACTGATCATTTTATCAGTTTTAGACTGATCAACACTGGGAACAAGGAACAAAAATCATCTTAAATTTTCATTAGCTGATATCTTACTTCTGGGGAAGACAATCTATGAGCAAAAAGGGTTCAAATTAGATCAAGGAAAGATAAACTAGGTAGAAAATGCTGGATAGCAGGCTGGCTATTTGTATTTAAATCTTCAGATGTTTGGTTCAAGGCCCCAAAAAAGACCTCCTTAATTGCATGCTCTCTGTCTGCTTTAAATGTTTCTACATCCACATGTTTTCTCATAACTTCCCAAGTCATATATGTTTAATTAATGGGTAGCTGAAAATATCTATTGCAACATTTTGCACCACTTTAAACTGGTATATTATACACAACATTTATATCCCACTGTCCTTCAGCAGGAGTGACAAAGCAATTCTGCCTTTTTTGCTCGACCTTCATTTCTTATTTTCTAGTTTCATAGCCAACATACTTTAGATTCCATAAAGTCGAACATTTAGTTGAATAACCTTAAAGTTAGGTAACTTTATATGGCTTTTAAAAAAAAAAACCTTTACGTGTTTGTATCTGTGTGTGTGTGTTTCTCCCACAGGTGTGCCAGCCAAGCGTAATGAGCTGTATTATGATTGCTGTAAAGAGCCCTATCCTGATGTGACCTTCACAGTCACCATGCGCCGCAGGACCCTTTATTACGGACTAAATCTGCTCATTCCCTGTGTGCTGATCTCTGGCTTGGCCTTGCTGGTCTTCCTCTTGCCAGCTGACTCTGGAGAAAAGATCTCTCTAGGTGAGAGAAAACGACTGGAAACACAAGTGAACTATATTTAACATATCATTGGATGCATGATATATAGATACAGTACTGTAGATAGTGACAGTGATAGATACTGTAGATAATGACAGTAATAATTGATAAAAGCAAACAGTTAAACAAACAGTTGAATCACAGCCTTAAAATCCTAATACCTCAGTAAACAGTTTACCTTCAATAGTCAAAGGTAGCTCTAAAAAATGGCTTTTTGACTTAAAAGAACTCAGGTTTTCAGCACTTTTAAGCCAGGCGTACACTGTGCGATTTTTTCAATCGTTGCTCGCAGCTTCTGCTCACACTGTACGACTAAACCCTGTGGTTTAGTCGTACAGTGTGAGTTCACAGCTCATGATGTATGTGCAGCACAATGCCCTCATGCGATCTACCTGCTCACACTGTACGACTAAAAACCACATTGGACTCAGCTCCGCAGTGAGATGGAGCTGCTCTGACTCGTCTATCCAGAAGCCAAACAAATAGAAGAGGAATATGAAGCTCACTAGTATGAAACACACTTCCTTGGCAGTTTGTGCAATTTTGTGCTGAAAGCCCTGAAAAGAAAAGGGACGTATTTGGAAAAAGGACATGGCTGAGCAAACGTGGCTAGTTTGGTCTGTTAATTTTTACAGACAGAACTGCATTTCACTCATTGCATCCCCGCCATGCTTCTGTGTTTGCATCTGAGAGGAAGAAGAAAAAGAAGAATCCTTGTTTGGCATGCGCACTGAGGAATTTGCCCACGACGATCAGGAATCGTGAGGTCGGATTCCTGATCGGGAGGTGGTCGTGAGAGGCTAATCACCCCTCGTAACCCCCTGTACACAACACGACTCATGACGCACGACCAGGCTGAAAGTCAGCCCATTTGAAAGTTCTTGCATGACTGGAAAATCGTCCCGAAAATCGCACAGTGTACGCCCGGCTTTACAGTCTTCTGGGAGTTTGTTCCAGGGAGGGAGCATAGGAACTAAATGCTGCTTCTCCATGTTTGGTTTAGTTCTGGGTGTACAGAGTAGGCTTCAACTAGAAGACCTGAGTGGTCTGAAGGTTAATACACTGACAATGAATCTGTTATGTATTGAGGTGCTGATCCATTTATCGAAATATGGAAAAACTGTTGCAGTAATCAATTCTACTAAAGATAAATGCATAAATGAGATTTCTAGATCCTGCTTGGACATTAATCTTTTAATCCCAGAAATTTTCGTCAGGTTAGTCGATCATGAGACCAAGATACCGGCAATAATCAGTGGTTTCTTAAATAGTTTCTTGTAGATAGGAGCATTCCTGTCCAAGGGGCCCTCAGTAGTTCAATAAATAACTTAGGATGTCTTGAGGGGGGTTTAGGCATAGGTAGCTGGCAATCCCTTAATGCCTGGAACTACTGAGCCATCACAGAGGCCTTTGCGAGAACTTATATCAACGATTTTTTTTAGCATTGAAACATGAATTTATTCTACAGAATTTTATAAATCAATACTATTAATGCTGCTACTAAAACTAATAAAAAGAGTGGTATGAGGCTGCTGATTAAAAGTATAATGTTATCATTTTAGGGTTTTTTGGAGCAACCTAGGGCGCATTAAAGCAGCCACAACTGAAAGATGCCTGTTGTCATGAAAATCGATTGCAGTACTATGTAATTACAGGAAGACTTTCACACACCAGTGACCCTGATCACATATTCACCTGCTGTTCTTATTTTCCCTTTCCCCGTGTCTCTGTCTTTGTCACCAAGGTATCACTGTGCTGCTTTCACTAACTGTCTTCATGCTTCTGGTAGCAGAGATTATGCCTGCCACATCTGACTCTGTGCCTCTTATCGGTGGGTTTCATTTTATATGTTTTCTTTTGTGTATATCATAGTTTTAAATGTAATAAAAATGAATAATGAAAAGAAGCAGATACAATTTTAGGAGAAGGTGGGACATATTTTTTTATTTTGGGTTTGCTTGGTAAATGTATTTACAATTTGTATATAAGATTACAATCCCATCCAAAAGCTTGAAACATCTTTGTTATTATTTGTTTCCCCACAACCAGATATTTATGTATACTTGACCTCTAGTATTCATATTTAGTTCTTAGAATTTAGTTTTACAATTCTTGCTTAAATATAAAAACAGGCCAACAGGCAACATAAATTGTAATCATAAAACAACATATCTCAAGCAGGAAAAAAAACATTTTGAAGTCATGAGAGTGACTTAAGATATTAGAGAGAAATTGTCTATCAGCTGAAGAAGGATTTTTTTTGTGTGTGTATCTCATTTTCGTTAGTGAGATTTGATATCCCGGTTGCTGAATAATAGCCCAACAGGTGTGCTTTCACAAGTAGACCAACATGGCCCTAAGGTTCCACCTGGTAATTATGTAGGAAACGGAGACAGGTAGGGAGGGGAAAAAGTGAGAGGAAGAAAAAGAGAGAGAAATAAAAAACAAACAAAAAAAAAACTTCAACACAGAAAATACAGAATAAATCCTAAAACTCTGCTTCCACGTCTGCAAGAAACAAGAGGGGGAAAAACACAAAACATCCACCACAACAAAAGAGGGAGACACATAGAAAATACATGTGTACAAACTTATTCAATTCAAAACAATCCAGTTTATTTATATAGCGCCAATTTACAAGACATGTCATCTCAAGGCACTTTAGGGTTCACCAGATCATACAGTCAAATTGATTCAAAGTTTTCTATCTAAGGAAAACCAGCTGATTGCATCGACTCATTGACTCGAATGCAGTCCTTACATACTTGTAGTGACAGTGGAGAGGAAAAACTCCCTTTTAACAGGAAGAAACCTCCAGCAGAACCAGGCTCAGTGTGAGCGGCCATCTGCCGAGGCCAACTGGGGTTAAAGGAGACAGAACCAGACATAGAGAAAGAATATAAAGAAAAAGAAAAAGTATATAAATAAAACCTATAAAGATTTCACAATGTTTTTCTCAGCTATATGTAGTGTTAGCTGCAGCTTTATATTACACATAACTGTGTATCTATGACGCTTCGAACCAAAGAGCTGTGGTATATATGCATGAGTGTGATTGTTTATTAGACTTGTTCAGGATTAGGATATGCTCAATGGTTGGTGTGAGGGGCACAAGGCCAACACAGAGGAGACCAGAGCCCCAGATATCCAAAGGTACTCCACAATGCAGGGGACACAGGAACGGCTGCACCCATCCAAGAAGGACAGATGAAAGCCCGGGGGCCAAAGTCCAGAGGCTATGGTGCAAAGCTCGAAGGAGTCCACAGGCTCCACTGGCAGCCAGTCATGCTCAGTTCCAATTGTGGGCCCTGAGGCCCGGGGGGCATCACCCAAAAAGCAAAGACGTCACAGGGACACGAGGTCACGGCTGGTCCAGTAGCCGCCGGGAATGAGATGGCACCCACAGAAGCATCAACCCCTGCACACAACCACCAATGACCCAGTAGACAGAGGTACCAGTCACTGTCAGGGAGCATAAGGGAGGCCCAGCTAGTGGCCGGGCCCTAGGATTGCTGAGCAGATGGAGGTAGCTAAACATTCAACCTGAGAAGGGGACAGAAAAACATTCACAGACTTCCAGACACATTCACACAATCCCACACTTATGCTTTCATACAAACATATGCAGGAACTCAAAATGACACATAAGAATAGAGACTGAACACTTTCTTCTTACTGTAGCCAAATTTTATTTCACTAAGGTAACTCATCCCTGCCCATAGATAAGACTTCTCCTGTTCAGGCCAATTGAGCAAGACAACAGGGCATAGGCATACACATCTCTATGTACTTGGTTTCCTGCTCGAAATAAACACCTATTTATTATTTTATAATTCAAGCAATATTAAAACGGTGCTTAAAATGTTATACCGACCTCCACTGCCTCTTAAGCAAACACTTTTTCATCAGTTTGCTGTTTTTCTGTCCAAGCTTTAGTTCAGTAGATTACATCTAGTTATCAATAACTCGATAAATAGATAAGACATTATTTTCACTTGGGTCACACTCTAGATAATCCACTAAATGGAACTAGTTTAATTTTTCCCATTCCTAAGGAGAGTTTAATTTGCCATACATGTGGACAAATTTGTTGGTACCCCTTGTTTAATCAAATAAAACCCGACAATTGAACAAAAATAAAAATTCTAAGAAAATGTCCAAATTTGTGATCTTGCTTTTCAGCTTAGCTTCAATAAAATAAAAAAAATTATGGTACCCCTAAAGTCAATGTGAACAAAGGGACATGTACAATCAAGGTGTGTCCATCAATTAGCATCACAGGTGTGAACAATACTGTAATCAGCCTGTATTTAGGGCTACAGGTAGTCACTGTGCTCCTTCGTGACATGGTGGTAATAACACTCAACATGAACAAATGTGAATTTTTCTTTCAATTAATTAGGGGTTCCAACATGTGTGTAGAGAAGTGAAGATGAAATGGACGAAATTCTGACTAAGGTGACATTATCTAAGTTGCCCAGCAAGCAAACTAAAGGGAAAAGTGAACTATTAGATCTATGACACCTTTGGAATCCCATAAAGTGAAATTAAGCTGCTGAATGGAATAGGGTTATTTCCTTCAAATAATTATTCCAAGTATTTCATTCCTTTGCTAATAAATTTAGGAAAGCATAAAAATATTTTTGGTAGGATATTAGTGTTGTTATAGATGGGCAATAAACTCCTACCAAACTGCCAGACAGGGGCTATGTTGACGCTTTAAAAAAATACATGCTGTTTTATATTTGCGCTAATAAATAGAAGGTCTTCAACTGTAATTTTAGTTTATAGAGTCTTTTCTAACTCTAACCTTGACTCATCTTGTAGGCTGATTTTAAACCATTTTGGGATGTATTGTAGCCTACTTTCTAGAATGTAATGAGATAATTTAGCCAGATAAAATTTTTTATTGTATTCTAGTTTTACTTTATTCATTGTTTCTGTTTTTTTCTCCTCCAGGATGGCTTCTTATTTAATTTCTGGATAACGTTTCTTTTCTAATGTGATAGGAATGAGATCATTTTATCTCTTATCACTGCTCCACCAGCCTTCCAGAGGACAGATGCTGATGTTAAGAGGAAGTGATTATACACCAAATATGAAACCCATACTTCTTTAAAATACTTGATAAAATCTACATCTTCAAACAATGATGTATTAAATCTCTGACCTTTTATTTTGAATATTTTATTTCTTAATTTCTAGCTTTAAACAGACCAGAGAACTGATCACTGACAGCTAATGGGTAAATCTTAGAGTCTGAAATGTTCTTTAATTAAGAGCTGCTGACCAGGAAATATAATAAATGAGAGTAAAAATTGGACATGTGAGAAAAAAGTATATTTCCTGCTGTTAGGGTGAAAAGAGTGCCATGTTTTACAAAGTTCATAATCACTCATGTACTGTTTAACTGCCAACTGTGTTGAGTTCCTGTTGTTTTGAACCACTCTATTTTTTCAATTAGGCTGAAACTGATATCGCTCCCAATAATTCCCAATAATTAAATTTTGGCCCATTCAAATTTGGGCCAAAATTGCTAAGAACAAACTTTTTGGTTATGAATGGATATTATTATAATATCTACCCTTTGGAATTGTACATGCGTCTAATAGTGCGAAATGTGTATTTTTAAAAATGAAAACATTTAGAGAAGGCAGAGAACAAATAAGAGAACTCAGGTAACTTGCAATTGCAGCTGATTTATGATTATCTTGTAATAGAATTTAAGCTTTTCTCTCTACTGCCAGCTCTGTGCACATTCCACATGACAAACCTTAGTTTACCCATGTTAAAGCATGAATTGTTAATGTTTGGTACCATAGAAATGGATATAACCCAGTGCAATAATGCTGACCTTTGGTTGTCAGAATAATAGATCATAATGGAGAGTTACAGCATAAAATAACAGATAATTAGGAGAGTGCACGGGTTGGGGTGGGTGACACATAATGTTATATTATCTCTAAACATAACATATAGCAGAAAGTTTCTGCCATATTTCAAGTGTACATATAACACATCTTTGGAAAAAAAGTTTTAGTTAAATTAGCTCCTGCAGACTGTTATCTTAAATAAGAGTGCCAAAGGAATAAATAAGGTTATTTTTTGGTTTTCTATGTAAACAGTACAGAGTTCTTTCTTTTTAATTTAGGACCCTTTTTGTGTGTGAATGAATCAAAGTCGTTAAATTGGAGTCTAAAGTAATAGCTTGAAGTCTGTCTAAATGACTGGATTAGATGTATTTCTTTAAAATATACCTTGAAACAATATTTGTTGTGGATTGGCACAATATCTATAAACAAAAAGAAACTAGATAATTATGAGGCACAGTTTGTGAATCAATAAAATATGTAAAAAAAGTAAATCCAAAGAAATTCATCAAACATTGATCAGAAAACAAGCTATGAAAAGCAGCCAAAG